TCAGCAACCAAAAAAATAAACACATGCCTTTTGTAGCAACATGGATGGAGCTGGAAAAGATCATGCTTAGTGAAATAAGCCAGAAAGGAAAAATATCAGAAGGTTTCACTCATAGTAGGAGGATAACAGACCAGGCAAGAAAATAATAATAATGAACAGGTATATACCAGGCACATTTTATGGGGGTGGAGTGGAGAATGGGACCAAAAACAGTGGGGGGAGGAAATGCACTGGACTATGGTGATGGCACATGGGTGATTTGGTGATGGGAAGCCCAAGGGGATTACAACTGAGATGGAAAAATGTACAAAATGATGTAAAAATAAACTATTACATTATTCATTGAAAAAAAAAAAAAGGCAGAACAAGGGAAAGCTCCAAAGGAAAGGCTCTGGGTCACTGTTCACTCAATGATTTTCAGCCATTGGTGGAATACTGTGTATGCTTTGTATACCTTGTTTCCACTCTTTTGGGTAGATACCTAGGAGTGGGATTGCTGGGTCATACCTCTCTGTCAGCTTACCACTATGTTGGGGACAAAATCCTGGTTGTTACCTAAGACCCTGTCGCTGAAACTTTAACTTTCATTACAATGATAACATGAGTTACCTTCATGTCCACTGAGGGGTCACCTTGTAGCAGTGTCCACTCATACCGGACGATGGCGTGGTCATCCGTGCTCCCTCGCCCATCCAAAATTACCTCGTTTGTGGGCAGATGCAAAACCAGATCCTGCCCAGCCTTGCTAACTGGGGGCTCATCATTTGCTGTGAAAGAAGATAAACAATTTGTAAGAGATTTTTTTTTTCCTAATTTACTAAGAGAGACAGCTTGTTTGCTGGAATAGTCCAGCAAGAACTGCTGAGAGAATGCCTACTAACTGAAAGTGAAGACTATTGTATTCCCCCCTTTTTTTTTTTAAGATTTATTTGGCGTGGCAGACCTCTTCTGACCCGCCTGCTGCTCCTCTCAGCAGTTTACTTTTGGCAATCTGCCTGTTCTGCTCCTCACTCTGTCTCTGGTGAATCCTTTCACTCACCACACCTCTGGTCTATACCCTAGATCTGTAAGCATAAATAAATAAATCTTAAAAAAAAAAGATTTATTTATTTATGCATTCAGAACTGGGGACAGGCCAGAGGTGCAGGGGGATGAGAGGGTTCACCAGAGATAGAGTGGGGAGCAGAACAGGCAGATCAACGAAGTACACTGCTGAGGGGAGCAGTGGGCTGGACAGGAGAGGTCTGCTGTGCCATGTGGGTCAGCTCCCTGGTCGGGATCAAACTTATGCTTCAGTGGCTGCGACAGCTTCACAGTGCTGTGCTTTAACCCGCTGCGCCACCATGGAGTCCCCCATTGTATTCTCTTAATAAGACAAAAATATGCCACCATGATGACTATGGGATCCGGCTAGCACCTGGATAAGAGGAAGTGTGGAGTGTCAGCCTCCAGGACAGCTGGGTCAGAATGGGGGTGCACCAGAGCAGCAGGGCCTGTGAACATCTGGAGAAGCATTTAGATTCTATAGAATGAAAATTTGTATTAACTTAAAAACCATTTAAGTTTAAAGTTCTAGGAAGTGGATTTATCAAAGAAAATATTTTTGAAACAAATTTTAAAAAGTCAAATTCACCTCTCATGTAGGCTCTTCTTAACCTCAGCTTAAGAAAAACAGAAGTGATATATTCAATGGATGAGAAAAATTAAATCTGAAAAGTTAAGGCACGTTCTTGAATTCATACAGAAGATCCACATAGAAACTCTCTGGAATCCAACTTTTCATTTAGGGAACTAGAAAACGTTCACAGCTTCTAGCAACTAATTTTTATAACAGAGGCTAGAATACCATATTTCTAAGTTGTTTTAGAAAAGCACAACAAATACATACTTACTTTCAAGATTTATTTATATAAATAAATCTAAATAGAAGAACTGGAGTATAGGCCAGAGGTATAGGGGTGGTGAGAGAATTCACTGGAGACAGAGTGGGGAGCAGAACTGGTGGATCTATAAAAACATACTATTGAGGGGGGCAGCAGGGAGAGGGCAGAGGTCTGCTGCACCATGGGAGGGGGGGTCAGCTCCCTCCCAGGGGACTGAATTTAGGCAGCAGCAGTGGTGATAGCTTGATAGCGCTGAGACTTAAATCCTAGGCCTAGGGAGGCCTAAAACAAAGCTGTATTGACCTTTGACCTGGAATGGCACTAAATAATCATGTTCACGTAAACATTAATATTTAACAGACAGCTGCTTCACTGATGACTGACGGGAGAAGCTGCATACAGAAAGCATGTTTAAGGGCAGAGTTGTGAATACTGTGATCGCTTTAAGCTGCTCACTTTGAAATGAGACCCAAATGCACATATATTTTAAAGACACAGTATATAACAGTCCTCCTCCCCATCTGTGGAGCCTCTCAAGGCCCAGCCACCGCAAAGGCAGAACTTGTAGGTACTTGAGATATGGTTTCTCTCAGCAAGAATGCCACTGGCAGCCTCAGAGGAAGAGGTCTATTCTCTCACAGCATATGTGTCTAGCGAGCAGGTGATCTCATTTCTAGACTCATGTAAAACACTGAGGACTAGTAACTGATTTAAATAAGCAACACCCTGCCTAAAAAGAACTATTTTGTGCCTTTTCCCTCTGAGAAAGATCCAGTGCCTCCTATCTGTATTCTGCTTCTCCCAGAGTATTGCTAGGCTCTTGTAGAGAACTCTCTTTTGGTTCTGGAAGGTACGTAATGGTTTATTTTGTGATTCTGAGAAGCATCTCACACTTCAGAAGTAACACATTAGTTATCATCCAATTGCATTAAAATGCATTGTAAAATACTGTTTTTAAGAAGACAAACTAAAATATAACTATATGCTATAAACTGCAATGAATGCTAATAGTTTTTTAACGTCTTCAAGAAGTTAACCCCCACTATTTAAGAAGGAAGAATCAGATAACTGCTGTAATGTCCCACATTTTATAAACTTATTACTTTTGCCTCTCTTGGAAAAAAAAAATCATTGCTTTTCCTTTAAGGGACTTTTAATGTATAATTTGTGAACACAGGGAAACCCTCCTATCCTCTAAACTGATCACTGTTGTATTTGAGTAACACCATTAGTCCAGGCAAATGACAATGTATAATGTGTTTTAAGATGAGTCTGAACTTAGCATCTACCTAGAAACAGGCCTTAAAATTAAACACAAAAAGAGGAAGAGTGTGCTATCACTTAAAAACATTTGACATGCTCATGAAGAAAACATGTAATTTTGAACTTTTGCTATAAAAATGTAACAAATCAATGTTATAAACAAGAAACAGATTTTTTTTTGAAAACTAATCGTACTTGTTAAGATCTACAGAGGAGAAAAAAGACTTATATTGATTTATTGTAGCCTTTCAAAGTAACCTTTCTCCAGAGAAAAATGACAGTGTAAACTAATATGATTTAGAACACACTTCTGTGAACAGAGCCTTAAAACAAGGAAGAGGTTCTGGGGTTTGGGTTTATACTGCCAAGATACAAACCACTTGGGGTTTGGAGGTCAGAGGGCAACAGAGGAAGAGGACAGATGATAAGAGGTGGGAACATGTGACCGGTAAGCCCATTGTCGTTCTGGTTTGGTTCTGGTTTTCAATTATTTTTTTCCTGATAGTAACACTTTTTTAAAAAGATTTATTATTTATTTATTTATTTTTATTTTAAAATGATTATTTATGTATGCATACAGAGCTGGGGTACAGGACAGAGGTGCAGGGGCGGTGAGAGGATTCACCAGAGACAGAGTCGGGAGCAGAACAGGCAGATCGACGAAGTACACTGCTGAGGGGAGCAGCGGGTGGGTCAGGAGAGGTCTGCAGTGCCCTGTGGGTCACCTCCGGGGCAGGCGGGGATCAAACTCATGCTGAAGTGGCTTTGGCTTCTTAATGCTGTGCTTTAACTCACTGTGTCACCAGGGAGGGCCCCAGATTTATTGATTTTTATGCATATAAAAACTAGGGTGTATAACACAAGATATGCAACCTCTGTCGACAGACATATTCCAGGTGGAGGGAATGCTCTCAAAAATCAGATTTTCCATGCTAACTTATGTTATGACCTCCCTTTTTTGTATAATCATAATATCAAAATATCCTGAGCGACCTTCAGTTTACAACTGGATTGCCTTAGCCTCTTAAGGCGCTACCTGGCCCAGACAAGCAAGCACTGCACCTGGGTGAGAAATTCCTCTTGAAGTCAAAAGGCTGATTAATAAAAGCAATTGGCTGTCATTGCAAAGTCAATATTAAGGCAGTATTGGAATATACTCTTTTACTGCCCAGATGGAAGAAAACCTAACTCTCATCACTCTACTATCTCATAAGCCTTCTATTTAGTTTCTAAAGAACCATTCAAACTTCCTGCTATCTAGTCCTTAGATATGGAAATTCACCCAAGTCATCTATTCAGAGCTAATCAGGTTTTTTACTGCCTAAATTTCAAAACATTTCACTTAAGCTTTCTAATTTTTTCCAGATTCTACTATCTAGTCTTTAGATAAGGAAATTCACCCAAGTCTCCTCTTCAGAGCTAATTAAGTTTTCTACTGTCTAGACTTCAAGGAAATTCACTTAAACTTTCTAACATGTTTTTCAAAGAACTTTACCATAATTTGATTTACAAGAAAATTCCCTCTGCCTGCCTTCACTTTCCTTCACCTCCTAGGATATCTCAATTAGAATGAAAGCCATTAAGTAATAGATAAGGTTTGAGGGACTTTATTTTGGTTAATCTTCACTATGGTAAATATAGAAATATTAGTCTTATACTTTGTGAATCTATGTACCTGTTTTAAACTTGATAGATTGATTTTAAATGTTATAATCTCAACTAAAGGTCAATATGACCCCAGACTATTCTTAGAAAAAAGGTGATTGTGATCTCAGCCCTTTTCATAGGATAACGTCATCCCACAGCTGCTTGAAATGTATAAAATAAACCTCTGCTAAAGGCAGAGCAAGACTTGCACCCCACTCTGACTCCCCTGTCTTCTTCACGCCCACTCTCCTTGGCCCCCTAATTTTTTTTTTTTTTTTAAAGATTTATTTATTCATACAGAACTGGGGCACAGGCCAGAGATGCGGAGGGTGAGAGGATTCACCAGAGACAGAGTGGGGAGCAGAACAGGCAGATCGACGAAGTACACTGCTGAGGGGAGCAGCGGGCGGGTCAGGAGAGGTCTGCGGCGCCATGTGGTCACCTCCGGGGCAGGCGGGGATCGAACTCATGCGGAAGTGGCTTTGACTTCTTTAGTGCTGTGCTTTAACCCGCTGCGCCACCAGGGAGGCCCCCTAATTTTTTTAATATCTGCTCACCGACATGGTTCCCACCTTAGGATCCTGCCTGTGTCTGCCTTTCAACAGCCTGAGATCAGGGTAGGTCCCCAAAAGGTGTAGGCCAGAAGTCAGGGCAAGGGGTCAGAGGATTCCCCAGAGACAGAGTAGGGGCAGGACAGGCCGATCTACTGAAACACAGTGCTGAGAGGAGCAATGCGCAAAACAGGAGAGGTCTGCTGCGCCATGTGGGACACCTCAGGGGCCCGGGATAGAACTTGTGTTGCAGTGGCTGCTGCTAGTTCATAGCGCTGTGCCAAGCTTTAACCCATTGCGCCACACTTTTAAGAGTAAATTGCCCATACCCACAATAGCAGCACTGTGTCAGCATTTTGCGTCTATGTTGTTTCAGTCCTTCTCCGCATTCTACTGCAGCTCTGCTAACAATGATGTCTGTGTACTAGCCACTATGCTAGGTGCTTCTGAAGTATAATTTCACTTAACAGTCAAAAGCCCCCAAGGCAGATATTATCCTCTATATCACACTTTGAGAAATTTGGTCAGAGATGTTAACTTAGTTGCCTGAGGTCACACAATTGAACACATTTGTCAGTCCCAGATCTTCCCTACAGAAAAGCCCTGCCTTTCCCACTGTAGCTTCAGCAGGAAGGTGTGTTCCAATTACAATAAATACAAATTTACACCCCTAATTTAACGTACCAACTTACTAATACATTCCATTTGCTGTGTTTATTCACATATCCTAACATTGCTCATATTACTACATAAACTTCACAACTGTCCTTTAATTTAACTTCATGTTAATTTCAAATGACCTCTACTATGGGTATTTACTTTGTTGCCAGTTTTTTTTTCACCATTATTAGCAAGGTCATGACAAGCATTTTCTGTTGAAACTTCTCTTTAGTGTAAACATTTTCCTTCAAGCTATTCTAGAATGAATTAATGACTACTTTTAATGATCTTTGCTGCATATATCCCGCTTGATTTCCAAAAGATGGCACCGATTTACACTTTCAGAACCAGTAAGATTAAACTAAATTTTCCACATGTATGCCAGTATGAGTAAACTGATTTTTTTCAATTCATTTGCATTTCTTTGAATAATTCTGAGGCTGAAGATTGTCCCCATGTTATCAATTCTACGTCTTCTTCTGGAACTGTTTTCTTTTTTTAAAGATTTAGTTATTTATACATACAGAACTAGGGTACGGGCTAGAGGTGTGGGGGGGGCGGGTGGTGAAAGATGCATCAGATTCAGAGTGGGTAGGACAGGCAGATTGACTGAAATACATTGCTGAGGCGAACAGCAGGTGGATCAAGAGAGGTCTGTCATGCCACTTGGGTAACCTCCAGGCTGGGAATCAAATCATTGCTCTGAAGTAATAGATTCATAATATGGTGCTTTAACCCACTGCCAGGATACAAACCACCAGGGAGGGCCCTATTTTTCGCTTTTGTGGCTGATTAACATAAGCTCATTCTATTAACATGGTCAATTTTATCTCATATTTTCTAACTCTGATTTATAATTCTTTTTGTTTCTTGACATAAAGAAATTTCTTAAAACGTGAATATGACCTATTTTTATGACCTCTTTAATAGATTAGAAAGTTATCTTCTCTCCAGATTGATAATAGCAAGTTTATTTTCTTCAAGTCTTCCTATGTATGCAGTAACTTATGGCTTCCTTAAAAATATTTTTTTATTGTGGCCCTCCCTGGTGGCGCAGCCGGTTAAAACAGCATTAAGAAGCTAAAGTCCACTTCCGCATGAGTTTGATCCCCGACTGCTCCGGAGGTGACCACATGGTGAGGCAGACCTCTCCTGACCCGCCCGCTGCTCCCCTCAGCAGTGTACTTCGTGGATCTGCCCGTTCTGCTCCCCACTCTGTCCCTGGTGAATCCTCTCACCCTCCGCATCTCTGGCCTGTACCCCAGTTCTGTATGAATAAATAAATACATTTTTTTAAAAAACTATTTAAAAATATTTTTTATTGAACTTGGAGTTTATTTGCATGTGGCCAGGTACACATCTTGATGTATTTTCCCTAACATCCCCAAATAATTCTCTCAATATTACTTATTAAATATAATTGCCTCTCTTGTGTGACATTTATTTATAGTACAAAAGGGAGGAACTTAAATTTGAGAAAGATCCCTGGAGGTGTTTGGTCAGACACCAATGGAGATTAACTTTGAACTGGAAAGACAGAGAGTCTATTTTTGATTTCCCAAACCCACACAACACAACTCCACAACCCACTCACTCCACAGCCAAATGGCACAAAAGCACAACCACACAACTAACAGGTTGAAAGCCTTGGGCCAGTTACTTTGTCTCATCGAAACTTCCAGTACACTGGGGATTGGATTGGAACCTACCTTTTGGGTGTGGTGAGGACAGAGTGAGCTAATGCTTCCAAGGTGCTTAGAACAGTGCCCAGAACCACATTCAATACACTTCAGCCACCAGTACGATGACAGATTCCACTGTAAATTTGTTCTATCTCCTCTGACCTGGCCTTTCCTCATGATCTTTTCTTCCCAAATGGACCCAAAACACATTCTTTGCGGTAGATTTTCGGAGTCATTTCAGAAGCTCACAGAAATCAGAAAAACAAACACTGGAGAAGACAGAACGTGTGGTTCAGAAGCAGACATAGCTTCCTCAGGTGCGGCACCTGGCTGGCAGAACGGGGCATTTGGGTTGGTAACTCTCCCTCCTGCCAGCAGAATAAGGGGCCTGAGCTGCTCCCTTCCTTCCAGGATCCCAAGCTCCCAGGGCCCCAGGAAGTGTGAGCGGGGCCTGGCTCTCCAAGTGAGGGCCGCACCCAGTGCCCACTCATATTTTACTCCGAAACAGCTACTGAATCCCTAAACAAAGACCTCCACCAGGGAAGAGTAAAGAAGAAAAACTGGCGCACAATTTTACTAGAAAAACAAGCATTTCCCCCATGGACATGTTCATTCCATGTTTATTTTCCTTTTGGCCTTCCTGCCCTTGTGGTGGCAAATTCCTCCAACTCTGTAGTGAGAACAAGGGACGGGAACTTGGTTTCTCTGCTCTGGGCTTTCAGATCCACATTCCCACAGAGAAAGGATATGTGGGTTGGGGTCAAGGGGAGTCAGGGGTGCAACCCGGTATCCTGCCCACTGGGTTTCCTTCAGCACTGGCTGTAATAGACACTTTTACTTTTTTGAGAGGTCTGATGTAATAGGCCAGATGAACATCGATTTCATATTTGATCTACAAAAAGATTTGCTTTTCAATTACTAAAAAAAGTTCGTGTGTGTGTGTTTTAAAGAAAAATGAACAGGGCGTGGTGTGAGCAATCTGGCATCTAGTCAGATTTTGCTCTGGGAATTCCTCGACACAAAGCATGCCTTATTCTGAAACTAAAATAAATATTTGCTTTTCACAGCTTTTCTCTTTTAAATCATGAATGCTCTCAGACTGGCTTCTAGGAAAGTAGCCATCAAGCTGGGGTTTTTCAGAACCTGCCCCCCACCTACCCGCCCGAAGACTGAAAAATGAAAGTCACTCCTCGGGAGTCCTGCAACTGAGCTAAATAACGTGAAAGCAAGAGTGTTTCCTTTCTGAGCTAACTGAAAACGAGGGCGTTTCCTTTCTAACTTGGCCCAAGAACGGCCAGCCGTCTTGCCCAGGCCCCGAGAGGTTAGAACGGTCAGGAGCACCCCAAGCCCCCTCCGTGGGGTGCTTACCCGGCCGGGAGGCAGTCTGGGCGGTGGCCGGGGCTCCGGCTTCCAGGCCTT